CATCTCCTCTTGCAACAACCATGAGCGCAGTCGGAGGAGGAGGAGGAGGAGGAGGAGGAGGAGGAGGACCAGGGGAGGAAAAGAATTGGTATTTTACAGGTATGTACAAAGTCTCCTCGTCCTTGCTCGCTTCTCTTCAGCCCAGACCGCCGCCAATGAGAGGAAGCAGCCGCTGCGGGCCGTCGCGGGAGACTGGAGGCACAGAGACAGCCCGGACCTCTGCTTCCTCCTCCTCCTCCTGCTCCCGTCGATCCACCTTGGGAGAAAGAAACTTGGCCTTGGAAGTCGGTCCCCAAAACCTGCGCAGAGTCAGAGGAGCAGGAAAAGAGGACAAAGGGATGCGGTGGGAGAGGAGGAGGAAGAAGGAGGAGCAAGGGAGGAGGGAGGAGGGAGGAGGGAGGAGGGAGGGAGGAGGAGCATTCTGACCTATCTCGTCTGTATGCCCGAGCTCGCAGTTTCCGTTCATCCACATGCCGATGAAGAACATCAGACAGAGGAGAAGCGACGAACTGAAACCAACCAACTCAGATCCTCCTCCCCCTCCTCTCCTCTCCTGCCCCTCCTCTCCTCTCCTGCCCCTCCCCTGCTCTGCTCTGCTCTGCTCTGCTCTGCTCTGCTCTGCTCTGCTCTGCTCCTTTTCCCTTCACCTCCTCTGCTCTTCCCTCTTGCCCTCACTACTTCACTCCTACCTTGCTGTCGCTGGGGAGATCCGATCCTTCCTTCATCCTCTTAGTCGCTCTCTCCCCCCCTCGCTCGAAGGAGTCGTGCTCTAGTCGAGACTGCCAGAAGAATCAGAAGGAGACAGAGGGGAAGGGAGGGAAAGGGAGACAGGGCAAGGGAGGGAAAGGGGGCGGGGAGGAGCGATGGAAACAAGGCAGATTGCTATAGTATAAGGATGAGGGAGAACATAGCAACGAGAGAGGGGGAGAAGGAGGGCGAGGGCGAGGGTGAGGGCAAAGGGGGAGCAGGAGCAGGAGCAGGAGCAGGAGCAGGAGCAGGAGCAGGAGGAGGAGGAGGAGGAGGAGGAGGAGGAGGAGGAGGAGGAGGAGGAGGAGGAGGAGGAGGGAGGAGGAGGAGGAGGAGGAGGAGGAGGAGGAGGAGACGCTACGTTACGAAGGAGATCTCCTCCTCCACCCATGGATGGCGGTATCTTGTCCTCGTATCACGTCACTGATCACCTGCACTCCTCGCTCTCTGTCTCCTCAGCAGCTCGTCGTGAATCTGCTGCTTGCCTTTATTACTCTCCCCTCCCTCTCGTTCTTCCTCCTGCCACCTCCCCACCACCACCACCGCCTTACCTTCTCGTCCTTCTCTTTCCCACCATCGTCCTCCTTGTTGTTCCTCCT